CCCCAAAACCCCAAAACCCCAAAACCCCACGTATTATTGATCTTTAGAAGTAAATTTAAATTCATTAATTTATACAAAGAAACTTAATCAATGGAAGATAGCAAGTCAATAAAGAAATTAGAGTCCAACTCAACTCATCAAATAGTCTTAAATACTAGATTCAATACAAATAGCAAAAATTCCATTTAACTCTATAGCAATCAATCATCTTACAATCGTCCTTAATTCTACAAAGCTAAATAAACTGTTCTAGAGGAAGATGACTATTACAAATACTTGGAAGAGATAATTAAGAGAGATTACTTCCCTGATTTGATTAAGATGGAAGCCTATAAGGAATACATCGAGTAAGAGCAATAAAAAGCCTATAAAAATGCGATGGGTTTAAAAACAGGTTCAACTTAAAGAAGCGTCAGAGCTCATAATATTCCTTCAGTGTTATTGAAAGAAACTCCTTTGGATAAGGACATTTTCGATAGGAGAGATCCTTTTGATAAATTTTTAGAGAGAAAAAGAGATCCAAAAGGCCATGAAAAAAATAAGAAATAGAAAATTAACTAGTAGCTTATAGAATCATCCGAATATTAATCTTAATTCGATTTTGATGAAGATTAAAAGAGGAAAGCAAAAGATGTAGATGTTTCCAAGATGGGCCTTGATGAATATCTGCGAAGATTTACCTCTGAGGATAATAGTTCATTTTAAGAAATACATTAAAAAGATAGGTAAAAATTTCTCAATAAGATTGCATGGATGTTCAATGATCACGATAAATATGCAAATTTAAACCAACTCTCAATTGAGAATTAGCCTAATCTTGGACAGCCCAAAACATTACTATCTGAAGCCTAGTAGTTAGATGAAGTCAATAAATTTAACTCTAGGACTGTCCCTGGATTGACCTACGGAGATCATGAACCCTTATCCTCTCTATTCTTTAGAAAGCCTGAGGAGGATTTGGGAATAGTTTACGATCACTAAATAGCAATTTAAGAAAAATTAGAAGACATTAATGCCAAAGAAACTATACTCATAAATGAGCATTTGATTAAGAAGTCTAACACTAGGTTACCATCCAAGTTTTTAGCTGAGTTTCTTGACAAAGATGAAAAAATTAAGCAGTCTATCATTCAAAAAGAACTTGACAAGAAAAGAGGTGTCTTTCCTACGCAAATTGAGTTTAAAAGGCCTTTAGACAAAGAATTATTAAATGGTGGTGGGTTCAAAAGACCTTTTGACAAAAGAAATCCAGGAGAACCTAGCATAGATTTAAGTGATATGATGGCAATCAACAGAGGATAAAAGCCGAGAAATTCTAACTAAACCGAGTAAACTCCAATGATTAATGGATTTAAATTGATTTAAGGAACGCCTATAAGGTCAAGTGATAATACAGCTGTTACATCTAAAAAAATATAACTAGAAGAATCCCCTATGATTACATGGGGTAAAATAGAGGGTAAGCCATTGTTTTTGGGGACAACTGAGAAAAATGAAAATAAAAAATAATACTCTATTCCATAGATATCAGTAAGAGAGGATTTAAGTATTAAGATGGCTAACAAAACCTCTTCTAAAAAAAGAGAAGAAAAAGCAAAGCAGAAGAAGGATATAGACAGAAAACTACAGGGCACCGCTCTTAGATCAACTTAAGATTTGTCTGATGCTGGGAAAAAATTACTAACTAATCTGATAAAAACAAATCAGAGATAGACTGGAAATTCAAATAAACTTGTTGAATCAGTGTAAGGGAGAACACCTCTAGTTAAAAGATAAGCATGAAATTTTGTGGGATAAGGGCTAAAATGATAATGATAATTAGTTATTTAAATCTTAATTTAATAAATTGTTTTCTCGCAAAATTATAATGCATCAAGCGTTATTTATTGTTATTAAGTGTAGTATTTCATATAATGGTTCATCTATAATCATTAATTAGAATTATACAAATGAGTAAGTTTTGTATAGGCATTAAGTTTCTGAACGACATTTTTATTCCTCAGAGCATTCTCGAGCAGATTTCTATTATTATCTCTTACATCCTTGACTACTCTTTCTGAACTGTCAATCAACCAATCATGAACTCTGCTCTTAAGGAAATCATCTCTTCCACAGTCATCTATCTTTTTCTGATATTCTTTTCTCAGGCTTTGACTTACTTTTGAAAGTCCTTTTTCGCATTCCTCAACTACCTGCTTTCCTAACCAAGCAGCCCCATCATAGAATTTTTCTCTCTCATTATCCTCATCTTTTTAAGACCTCTCTAAATCTTCGATTCTTTTCTTTAGTCTCTCGTTTTCATCTTGAAGTTGTCTTCTCTCTTATTAGATCTGATTAGTATACTTTACCGTTTAGTCTACGAGAACTAGACCTTATAATGGTGCTTCACTTGACTCTTTTATCACTGCGACATTTTCTCTTAAGGCTTGATTTTAGTCTTTTACTTCCTTTTTTAATCTCTTAATATCATTCTCAGCCATTACTTAATCATATGGTTGACGGAAAGATATTTGCCTCCTCAGATAAGCAATCTCTTTATTTGATTGATTCTAGACCTTATGGATCTGCTTTTTCTCTCTCTATCTCCATACCTTGTTCAGATCTTATAGTAACTGATTCATTAGTGATTAAGAGATATTGGATGCGCATTTGTTTCTAAAATCATGGGCAAGTTTAAAGGCTTCATCTGGAATCCAATCCTCACACTCATTTTTATCTGTGTAGAAATCCTTTAGGTTTGACTTTTATTTAGGATAGTGGCAAATGGGTTAAGAGTTATTTGAGGGATTTGGGTTCATATATCTTATTCCTACTCCTCCGTCACTTACTGAATCTGAAGCTAATTTCCCAAAATTTTCAAACTCTTTTGTCTAACTAAGCATAGCTATTAGCCTCTCATTATCAGCTTTATAATGATGAATTTCTAATAAAGCAGTTCCCTCTGATTTTCTGGTCATAACTATTTCATCCAATTTTCTCTTCGCATCCTCTAATTCTAATTGCAATTATTTAATTGATTGATCCTTTCTTTAAAGTAAATCTCTATATTCTTTATTCTCGACTCTGTTTATTTTCTCTGTTACAACTAACTTAGTTAGGCTAGCATCCTTTTCTCTGAGATTTAAACTGAGTTTATTAATCTCATTCTCTCTTGAATTAATCTCATTTTGCAATTAGAAAAGTTTCTTTTGAGCTTCACTTTGAACTTTAGTCTAAGTCATTTAAGCATGTTCAGCTTGTTTGGCTAAAGCATCTGCCTGTCTCGCCATAAGATCTCTTTCATTTTCCTTCATCTTTAAATCTACTTTTGTTTTTATTGTTTCTTCATGTTCTTCTTCCATTTGTCTTTCTAATACCTCTTTTTCCTACTTTGTGCGAGCAAGAGCATATTCAGCATAGCGTAGAGAGTCTTTAAGTTCATCGATTTCACCCTAAGCAAGACGGAAGAGCTGTCTAGTCTGCTCATTTACTTTCGTATCTTAATCAGTCCTAAGGATCTTACCTGAAGCAGTATGGGGGTTCTTTTTAAATGAGGGTCTCTAATTGGATAGCCTGGATGGACCACCACCGACATTTTGATTTGTTGAATAGTTTGGATGGTGCTGTTACTAATCTGCCATTTAAGAAAAGTTAATATTTAAATTCGAATTAATTAAACTACCATTATATTACCGCATATAATTATTGATGGGGTTTTGGGGTTTTGGGGTTTTGGGGTTTTGGGG